AATCAGTTTTTGCACTGATGTGAAGTGTAATCCTGATATCCTTCACAAAGCCTTGGGAAATCCTATATCAAAAGAAGTACCGACCTTATGATTAGTGTGGAGTATTTTAAGTGAGAGGCAGGTGGTTTTGGCAAAGCCGACGGGCTTCCCGATTTAGCCCAAAATCTCACCTTTGGGAAGCTTCAATTATGTGGCCAATGTTTAGTACACAAAGGGAACTCTCTCTGGATGTAATCTGGCCGAGAAGTTTCACATGAAGACATGTGCTGATGTCAGCAGCAGAAGACTGACTGCCCCTGGCTAGAACTACTTTCAATCTTCCTGATTATCTTTTCTGTCAATCACTTGTGTACTGGTGGCCGAGGGTGCATGGAAAATACGAATGTGAGGAAGTTCCACAACGTTTTTAAGGACGTTTGGCTTTTCTTTATTATTTTTAATTCTCTTTGTATATGTATTCTTCATTATGGCAAGGTGTCTTGTGGTCATGGATGTCGACTCAGAATCTGAAGGTTCTGGGATCGAATCTCTGGCAGGCCTCAGTGATGTGCCCTTTGGGAGGAAGGCATTTTACACCTGCTAACTCCATTCGACTCAGGTGAAAATGGGTACCCAGGTTCGGTTAGAGACGTCCTCTCTGGTGGTACGTAAGAACCACACTAGGAGTCTTTTTCGGTGTGAGTGGTTCAAGCCTTACAATCCGGTTTCTGATTTTAACATCTTGAGAGCCGATAGTCGCCCGTGATATCAATCCGTCCACAATGTGTGGTAAATCTCGTTAGATGAGTTGTCACTAGTACACTGTGCTTGGATGTGCTTCAACAGATGAGTATCTAAGAATGAATGAATGGCAAAATGGTTTGGACTTAGTCTAACGTCACCTTTGTCTTATTATTTGTACCCGCAGAAATATCTTAACAAGCAGTTAATGACCTAGACAAAAACAATGTAGGCATGACACCCCGGGCTCCTTACAGCTGGTCCTCAGTATAAGACAGACCTTCTTCAAGATGTCCTCGATTTCTTAAGATGAATGATACCATCTAATGTCCTGAAGGAAAAGTGTGAGGATTCTATTATTTCCGCTCGCCGCGATAAGATGTAACATGTGTTCCTTGGCCCGTATTCACTTCTTCCCAGTTTCTGCACCTACATAGTCAGCTTGAATTTGTCATTCTGGACAAAACAACACAACTGAAGAAAGTCAAGGTCTTCAGTGATTACGGTGGACGAGCAGCTTCATAGTAGTTTCACATGATGTAACACGTGTTCCTTGGCCCGTATTCAAAGTTTTCCCAGGTTCGGCGTACATAATTTAAATTTCTCACTCTCGGACTAACGAAGGCAACTGAAGAAGCCAAGGTCTTCACCGAATACTTAGCTCCATTAAACATCATATCCGAGGGACGTCCCTAACTCATTTTCACCTGAGTGAAGCAGCTAGGGAAAATGAGATAAAGTGCCTTTCTCAACGACACAACATCGGGACATGTCAGGGGATTCGAACCCCGTACCTGGATCCTGGGAAAGACACCAATCATTACCCCACACGATGCCTCACAAATATGATAGACTGAAATTGCAAGGAATATGGGGTTATACTACTATAGAGGTGAAACTAATCAAAGAGCAAAGATGGAGACCTAACATGTGCATGTTGAGCCATGTTGAGCACATCAGAAGACACGTGCTGGGTGATGGAGTAAAGGACTGTCGGAGGCAAGCAGGGTGGCGGGAGACTAATGACCCACCGAGGCGTGACAAACGAGCAACTAAATGGGACAAATGCTCCGGATCTCTGGCCAACGTCACCTCTGGTGTGTCGCTGTGACGTTCTCGTTAAGAAACAATCCGTCTTCCGTCCAGGCGTGACCGAGAGCTGATCGTAGTCGACGGACCCGTCTCTCTTCTCTCTCTAGCACGGCCTCACACGCTTTCCGAGAATAGTATGGCCTAAGGGTGACCTTTTGTGCTTGGCAAAATTTGGCACAAATGCAGGTTTATGCCTTCTATCCTATCACTTGATGGCAATGCTTTCAGCTAGGCTGTGTGCGTAGACAGGCATACGACCATTGATTACATTCTAGGCATTACGTCCATGGGTCTTCTTCAAGCGACTTTCAAGTGATCTCGATCCGGTTTTTGAGCTCGCTGAAGACAGACGTTGTGTACAGTATTTACAGACCCACCCTTAACGTCCCTTCCTAGGGCGACCCTTTCCAGTAGCGTGCATGTCAGTTGAGCGACAGCAGCCGGGATTCGAACTCCCGACCTCTTGGTCCAGAAGTAATTTCGCTAACCCCTGAACAACATCACAAGAAGGTAGATCTCTCTCTTCCCAAATCCAACAGAGATAGTGGAGGCATCACTCGGCGTCCCTTGTAAACACGGCATGCTGTTTGTTGAATGTTTACGATGCGGATTCACCCTGTCAAAATGTTATTCTTCCCTGGATGCACTATAGATACAAGACAGTTACAGGGCTCGAAATTCCACTTCTAATCTGAGCACGGCACTAGGGGGCACATGTACATGTGCCTACAAATCAACTGTCACTCTTAAAAGTAGACAGCAGAGAACGTAGTAAATAATACTACTTGGAACATCTTCTTCCAAACCATTTCAATTTTGATGAATTGAAAGGCAAAGAAACAGGTAGTGCAGGTAAAACTTGTCTGGTGCAGGTCATCATGACTATTACCTGCACCAGTGCAGGTATGCAGAAAAAAGTATTTCAAGCCCTGCCGTTGATGGGGGTGATTTGGGGTCTCATCGGAAGCAGTACTTGTGGTCGGGAGAGATTCCAAGTGGCAGCTTGTTTATAAAACTCTTTGTTTGATGAGCCGCAGCCCTGACAGAAACCTGGCTACTCCTCAAGACTGTTATCGTCTTGCTTTGATAAACGCAGAGACCCTGGAGATCCCCTTGATCTCCTGGACAATGTCCAAATTGCTCATTCTTCTTGAGAGTTTACATCTGTCTTCAAGATGGCAAATGCCGTTTTAGACAACGTCAATGAACTTCTTTGAATATTCTGGATTCTTGTCATTAATCTATTACTTTTCTGTCGGCATTGCGGTTTCTTCTGACGATCTTCTACTCTCCAAGCAGAGTATTGGTCTCCGGCTTATGTTTTTAGGCGTTTTTATCGGGCTTACTTTTTGTACTGGTATCCTTTTTTCGCTAGCCAACTGGGTGGCAAATGAATACTGCCCTGCCAATTTGTCACGGTCTTGAGAATTTGTTTGGAGATTGATAATTTTGAGAATGAGAAGAACTCGTTTTTGCACGTAAAATATCTCAAAATGACGCAATAAGAAGCAATGGAATGCAACGGAAAACAACTGATGTGTCAAGGTCTTTCCTGTAGACCTTCGGAACCTAATGCCTTTTTCTAGCAAAACCAAATGGATTGTGACATTTACGCCAAGGTCTTCCTTGTAGAATTTACTACCTGTCGTGTTTCTGGCAGAAGCAATGGCATTGGACACTACGTAATGACCAGGACGGCCTCTCTGAACTTCCGTAATGGAAAGTGAGAGGGTCACTGCACGTGACATCGCCCCCATACCCTCATTCCGAAAATTGGGCTTTCATGGACAATTTACATGACACGGCTACAGTCTGGTTTTGTCAGGAAACATTACTGTATTACTGAGTGATATACTGTATACCCACCGCTGATTGTGTAACAGGTCTAGCATATCACAGCACAAGGGACAGTATTCACAGACAGTAAAGTAAGATAGCAAGGTGGTCTTGCGGTTAGCGTTTTTGACTCAGAATCTGAAGGTTCTGGGTTCGAATCCCTGGGCCCTACTATTGTGCTCTTGGGAAAGGCACTTTACATATATTTCCTTTATCTGTTGATGTGTCCCAATTTCTCAACATTAATGCATGGGATTAAAGCAACATTAATGCATGGGATTAAAGCAATATTTGATGGCTCTTTTCTAAACATGAGATACAAGCCTTTGGACTCTAAAAAAGCGATGAAATACACGATCGTTCCCGTAAATGAATAAGATGAACAGCGGTATTTCGTACGACGGTTTTATTCTTTCATTGGCATTGTTGCTGATGACATCCAACAAGAACGACACGAATGTCTGCAGTCTATGAAAGCGTAATGGATCACATCCTGCCAGAAATACTTGTTTGGGTTTCCTTTTCTGTGTTCTCTTTTGTATTTATCTCAGCCCGCTAAGACACTACGATGGCAAACTAAAACGTCAGCCAAAAACAAAGAACCATAGATGTGTTAAGAGCACACCTCCAAGTAAATAAGTAGCTAGAAGCACATTGGGAACCTCCTTATGATGACCAAGACGCCCCAGGGGCTGTTGTACCCAGAGCCGTGCTTTGTCCAGAACTCGATGATGCTCAGGCACGATTCTGGATTGTACAGGCGTATCCAGAACCGTGCCTGGGCCAAAACGTTTTTGAATACGCGAAGACTATCCAGTACCGTACCTCATCGTATCCCTAACCCATTCAGGCATAGAACTAGATAGGCATGGTTCTGGATACAATAGGCACCATGGTAGGCAAATAATCTGTTTTATCATTGATCGGTGACATGTAATTAAGATGCCTCCTGTGTGTGAAGAATTTGACATCTAACCTCCTATCCTAGTTTTTCCTAAGAATGTTCAGTGATCCAGGGAAGGCACATTTTCTGAAGGTCGTCCCTGAAATAATCGCACCCCATTGGTAAGACTAGTCCCCTTTCGCCCTGAGTCCTAACAAAAATGACCATGAACTGACAACCTGTATTACCAGTTCAACTTGATCGACCGCAGGACATAATAACTTTTACCATTTTTCAGTGTAAACTTCACATCTACCCACAAGAGCTATTATACCTTTCTGACATTTACTTCACGAAGGAGTGGTACGCCTTAGGCACTAGATGTCCAGCAACTGGAGCCTCTTTGCTGTCATAAGAATCTTATAACTACTTGAATCAAATCTGCACAATATCTGTCATGTCAGCATTTCTTGAAGCACTCTTCCATGGCTTTTAATTCCTTCATTCAGTTTCACTCCCTTTTAACTTTTCTCTTACTTCATCGTCGTCAGTTTACCATCTCTCTCTCTCTCTTTCCCTCTCTCATTCAACGTTGGCTTTCCTAACACAACAAACCGTTCTTGTGAATTTCTCTAAACTGTCAAGGTTTCTACCGTTGCATGTCGTCCAATATAGTTTCCGATTCGTCATGTCTATTTTTTGCTGCAACGTTAGCAAAATAAAGATGGTGGCTTTTGAAAATTTAGCTATGTTTGGCAAAGTAGCAACATGGAAAATGTGGCTGGGTATAACATGAGCTAAGACGTAACAAACTTAGACTATTACATGCCCTGATTTCACATGACTGCCCTCCACGTGGTAGCCACTTTTGACAATATGTATCTCGGCATTCAATACAAAAATCCACACTTAAACACACTGTATTTTTTTACATATGGATTTTGTGACAAATATATGGTCGTGATGATGTTGATTATTATACAAAAGCTAGCATTTGGCAGCCCTATTTGCTTCGATAATTCACAAGGCTGCTTTTATTAATATAGCACTTCTTTATTACCATACGGCATTGCTGCACAAATCTATATGTGGATACTGGTTAACAGTTCGTACATATGTACAGCTAAGGAAACGTTATATACTCTATCCCTCACCCCTACAGTCTTATAATTTTGCACAGTACAAATTTTGCCCAAGCGTTTCATCTCCCCCTCTCATAGTATTGCACAGTACTGACTGCCCTTTATCTATCAAAGGTTCATGCACCGTCACCCTATACAATATTTCAATAGTACAATAGCTGTATGCCAGTTTGCTATACAGTTAAGTCTAGAAACGTTATGCACAGTTGTCGACATTTTGTAGCAGCGTACCTATACAAGGAAGCCCTTTTGCGTAGCAGGCGTACTCAGTAAAAGCTATTGTAACAAAACATAGCCTCGACAAGGGCTGTTTTCCCTATTCTTTAACTGGAGGTTACATCGCAGTAGAACAGATGTGTGCTATTTCTGTAGACCTTTCAGGTGACGCATGCCTTACTATACGCAAAGAAAAACACCATATGAAAGACGTACAAAACGAACCACACATCTTATCTGCTTGAATCACTGCATGAAATGTGGTGTTTCTGCATACCTTAAAGTATGCGTTAAGATTCCGTTTTTCAGTCAAAAAAAGGGAACATTTACGCATACTTTAAGTTATGCTTACATTGGACTTCATGTAATGAATGTTCATTGCGAAGGTTTTGCACATTGAGATTGGTCATCTCTCTCTACTGTAGTCTAAATGGTTGGCGTGGGCAGCCCAGAGATGACAGTTAAACAGTTGTCCCACACAGCGAACGCCGGGCATAGAGCCTCTCTAAACTTCGTCTGGAAGGAGTAGATCTGTTGCTTGTTCCCTGGTTGAGACATGGTTATACACGTCAGGGTTCCCGACGAGAAGTCCACCAGTATACCGATCTTAGAGGGCGGCGAGGAGAGCTGGATCGTCTGTGATTTGTTCTGATGCCACAGCGCGAACCTCTTGTTGTGGCACTGTATGGCCCAGGAGGAGTTGTTGCTGCCGATGTACTCGTTCCTCGGCGTGGATTTGTACGCCACGCCGATCCTGTAGCCGCGGCTCCTGCTGACGTCGATCTCCCAGTAGTGACGTCCCTGGCTGACCACCGAGTTCCCCAGGACCGCCACGTAATCCGTGAAGCGCTCGGGGCGCGTTGGAACGTTTCGGCGCGACGAGCCGGCCGAGTCGTACGTGACCGAGCAGCCGTCGTCCGAGATGTCCAGGTCCGGGTGAGCCGTGTCAGGGTCCAGCGTGAACTTGAACGCTGTAGAAAAGTACACAAACAATCTCTAGTTACTGACTGTTTACTGCAAGCTCTTGTCCGATGGGTAATTGCGTGTGCCAAAAATATTTCACAAAGAAATATTAATAGAATCAGTGGTAACAATATTATATAGATAGAACTAAAAAGGTAACCCTTAAAAATGTAATGGTTTCTTTCTGTCCAACAGATAGGGGAAGAGCAAATCCCCAACAGGGTAGGAGGTTCGTTCTTATGTTCTTCTGTTTTACCTTCGGTCAGTAGCTTGATATTATCATATCTTGCATGCAGGTTCAATGCCCTGTGTTAATGGTAGCAATAGCTTGGCTTTGCCGCCCTTCGAGGACGTTGTTGTGAAATCGTACCCCAAAACACCTGGAAAGCTAATGTCGTACAGATTTAAGAATTTCGCGACTGCTAGTGCTTGTAAACATGTTTACTACTATGCTGTCCTCACGTAGTGCACGAACGCCATGTAGGTATGCTGTGGGGTTTTTCTACATACCCTTCCTACGGGTATGGCCAGGGTATCATCCTGCTTAATCTGAATAAAACACAACAACGCCAAGGTATGTATGTTGCGTTTTTTCTCTACATACCATTCCCACGGGAATAGCCAGGGTATCATCCTTATTCCTGCTTCACCTACCTCCGACTTGGCAGGTGTAATTACCAACAATTGGCAGGTATCCCTTAACTTGAGACCAGGAATGTGAACTCAACGTTAAGAGCAAACTTAACGTTACTCTGTGAGTAATTGATTTCATGATTGCTGTGACGTTTATCGCTTCCAGCTGTGAAAGGGTTTATTTAATGTCACCTCTGATATGTGTCAAACCGTACAATGGATGTGTGTGATCCACCTCAACCCTAGATGTAACGCCCTTTGGATGCTTTCGTCATACTGATTTACCACATTTGTGGAAGGATTGACATAACAGATGACTATCACATTTTCAAGATGCCAATCCTACGACCAGACTGTAAGGTCTGAATCACTCACACAGGGAAGGACTCCTGCTCTTTTTGATAAGTGAGTGTGGTGGGATGACTCTCCTCAAACACGGGACCACTGGCTTGACGTCTTGTCTGACAGGGCGTCCCTGACCGAAGCTAGATACTAATTTTCACCTGAGTCAGATGAGAATATAGGTGTAAAGTGCGCCTTTCCTAATAACACAACACTGGGGATGCCAGAGATTCGACTCTAAGCACAAGACCACCTTGCCACCTGTTGGAGGGGTTCCCTACTTCACGAGTGACCTTTAACCCTGATGACGTCAATGATGTTACATACCTGCAGTTTTGGTCCTCATCTTCAGGCCCTCGCTTCTCGGGGTCTGGCCGGCCTTGTTGACTGCCCGCACGAAGAACGTGTACTGTGTGTCCGGCTGCAGACCCGAGATGGTCGTTCTCACGTCGTTGATGTCGGAAATGGTCTTGTAGATGGAGCTGACGATTGCACTAGACGCATAGGACCGGGCGTATTGCACCTGTGACAATTGTCAGACAAACTGGCGTTAGCTCTCTCTGTATATGAACATCCACTACATGTGCCCCCACCCCAAAAAGATGTACAGTCACAGCCAGGCTGTTAAGAAACGATGTTCAGTGCGTTCTAGCCTCCTTCGCAGACTTGTGCGGTGGCGTTGATGTTTTTGGGGGAGTGCTAATACGCAATATTACTCTGGCTACGATGTGAGAGTTTTGCCGCGGAATGAGTATATGCCGCATATACTCCCTCTGAACGTACTCTCTCAAAACATGTAGCACGTAAAACTAATAGTAAGTACAACAGTGACATGGTTTACCTGATATGTATCAAATGCGGAAACGTCCACACAATGCCATCTGAGATACACTGAGCTCTCCTCTGCAGAGCATTGCTCTGTCAGGAACTCGGGAGTACTCGGAACTGGAAAATAATACCATATCCATCAATAACATAATAATACTCCTTTGCATGAGACATTCACATACTAGTGCTTCCAGATGAAAACCGGTGCCACTTCTCTTCAGATACTCATTCACAGTTAACGGATGAAAGACCATAGTTTTAAGTTTCTGGTAATATATATTCATCTCTAGGGGAAATGGCTCTTTGTGTGCTATTAAGGTGAAGCTCTTTCCACGTGGTGTATAAGGGCGACGCCCATCTGTGTGTGTGTGGTGCACGTGGCATCGTGCTTTTGAGGACGTCTAGCCGTGTGCATGTGTGTTACATGAGCTGGTGTGTTACGCCGAAAGGCGGTTATACCGGCTATACAGATACAGATACAGATACAGATGATATTGTTCCAAGCGAAGCGGAGTCTTACTTTTGAGGAAGTCTAGCTGTCCGAGCATGGGCACCAGGTTGGAGAAGTCGATCTGGAAGTGTTTGAGCTGCAGCTGATCCACCAGCTCCGTGGACGATTGCAGAGACGGGGTGGAGTCTATCGCCATCCGAACCCTCTTACTGATGGCCTTAGATGTCTAATGAAGAGGGGACGAGGTCATAAGATAAAGAACAATGATGAACGGCCTGGTGCAGCATATTGGGCTCTAAAATCTTCGGACTACCAAGATAGTAAGCACAATTATATGCATTGCAATGGTCTGCAATGGGGAGGGACCTGTTGCATTCCAAAACGTGTTACTAAAAACATTTTAGAGAATGGACCACTTTGTTGCATTACAAATCTTGGCATAGCTGGACCATGATTTCAAATGTACCATGAACGTGACGAACCACACTGTCAGGCATAAAGAGTCTCCTGTACGGTGGGATTCCATATTTTGTCTGTCAAGTGAGCCGTGTTGTGAAAGTGGTTATTTTGGTATTGCTACAGATGCGGACAGCTGTTCTCGGTTACTCAACAATGACTGTTGGGAGGACATGAGATAGAGCCAAGTTATCATGGTGCCTACGGCTTTTGCCAAAGTGTTAAAGCCTAAGCCACCCAGATCACATGAAGTCCATCAACTTAAGCCTTTTGATAGAGATCAAAGAAAATGTAACCAAACAAAAATGTGGTCTTTTAACTTGGAACTCTACACTATCAATGTAATCAGTGGCGATGCCATTACCTGCAAAAAGCAGCCTTCGTTTGGTTCCTTGAGTGCCTCCTGTGCGTACGTTACTGCTGCAGTTGTACCCTCTAGCGTTTTCCTGTAAACTGCAACCTGGAAGCAAACGTAATCAATCAGTTATGTCAGTCCAATGGTTATCTTACAGAAACTGCTGTTCTTCAGGTGGCTGCAGGGCGGTGCTGTGGCTGCACCAGTCCTGAACAACCGAGTCGAGGGCGGTACAAGCACAGTCATCTTCCTCAGGGCAATACGGACTGGATCTATCTACTTCCTCAGCTGGGTATAGGCACAGAACCAGTCAGTATTGCCCTGAGGGAGGCAAAGAGAAGACCTACGGAAACGTTGGCAGGTAAACATTTCGCTATTTCCTTTGTTTTTATCCATTCAACAGACCGATCCCATAGCCTCATCCACTTCTGTCAAAACATAGAAATGCAAATATTTGATATTCATGCTTTATTGGCTGAACCGCATATTGTGTTTAGACTGTCAACATTGATCTATTAATGGATATTACAGTACCTGTTGCTTTCTGTCCTCCACTCGTCTGGCCTTCTCGTCATGCAGTTTCCCCACCATGGCCTTCTCCCGCTCATCCACGATCATCCTCAGCCGAGAGAACTCGTCCTTCACCGACACCTCCATCTTCGAAAAGTTTTGCTGAAGGACAGATGAAAGGGACAACTTCAACAAGAGCCAAGTAAGTTTGAAACTGCACACAAAGCCGTTCGTCATACGCTGATGTGGTAAGCGTTAGGCTGATACCACCAATCTACAAATGATTCACTGAAAGACAGCAAAAAGACTGTCAAAGAATATTTGACAAATTAGTAGTATTAGCTAAATGACTAGCCTGGTGCCATCCTGATTAGTTAACCCTAGTCTGGTGAATAGGGACCTAAGGTAACTAGCATAGCAGCCAGACTAAGTATTAAGTGTACAGTACATGAAATTTTGACCTACTGTACAACATAACTACGTACCTCCACCATCTCACAGAGTGACCGCAGCTTGGCGATGTAGTGCACCATCTCCGTGTTGATGCCCACCAACTCCTGCACATCCTTGGCAAGTTTTTCCTGCACAATGTAACATGCATCCGTCAATTCGGATTCAATGACATGCTCATTAATACGATACAACTGTTCTTCTAGTGAATTAATGAGATAGAAGGGCGCTATCTCACTAATTCACTAGTAAGGGAAGCTTCAGTCTAGTGAATTAGTGAGATAGACGGGCGCTATCTCACTAATTCGCTAGTAAGGAAAGCTTCAATTCTTCGTCTAGTGAATTAATGAGATAGAAAGGGTTCTTTCTCACTAATTCACTAGCAAGGTAAGATTGCATTCCTGGACTAGTGAATCAATCAGATAGGATAGTGCTATCTCATTAAATCACTAGTAAGGGAAGCTCCAATTCTTCCTCTTGTGAATTAATGACATAGAAGAATGCTATCTCAATAATTCACTAGTAAGGGAAGATTGAATTCTTCATCTAGTGAATCAATGAGATAGAAGGACACTAATTCACTGGTAAGGGAAGATTGCATTCCTGGACTAGTGAATCAATGAGATAGGGTAGTGCTATCTCACTAATTCACTAGTAAGGGAATCTTCAGTCTAGTGAATTAATGAGATAGAAGGGTGCTATCTCACTAATTCACTAGTAAGAAAAGCTTCAATTCTTCGTCTAGTGAATTAATGAGATAGAAAGGGTTCTTTCTCCCTAATTCACAAGTAAGGGAAGATTGCATTCCTGGACCAGAGAATTAATGAGATAGAAGAGTGCTATCTCATTAAATCACTAGTAAGGGAAGCTCCAATTCTTCGTCTAGGGAATTAATGACATAGAAGAATGCTATCTCAATAATTCACTAGTAAGAGAAGCTTCGATTCTTCGTCTAGTGAAGTTATGAGATTGAAGGGTAACATCTGATTCTATAAGGAGAATATGGGATTGTTATCTAGTGAATTAATGAATTAGGGCGATGCCATATCATTCTACTAATATAAGAGAAGGTGGGCTTATTATCGTCAGTTAACCAGTAAGAGAAGATTGAGGTCAAAACTATGTAATAATGTTATAGGTGTTTCCTTATGAAACTATAGTTTGATTGACACCTTGTCAAAAATGGCTACGACCATCCCATATGAACTTACCTTCTGCTCGTTGTATGTGATCTCCAGCGGCTTGACCTCGTGTTCCTTGTGTCTGCCCACCAGCTTACACAGGGAACACACCGGCGTGTCGTCAGTCACACAGAACAGGTTCACCTTATAAGGAGCACAGGCGTGTTTAATAGCTTATCAAAGGCGTACTTTTAGATGCTTGTCTTCTCAATGTTAATTACCCTCAGTAACACTGGCTGTATGGCGCCAAACAAAGGTAAAGCAGCCGTCTTCTATTAGAGAGAACAGGCGTGATTTTCCCAATATATAGAGCAAAGCGATTGGACCAAAATACATCATGTGTTCAGGAGGTGAATAAGGACTTTACATTGAAGTGAGATAAGACCACGCTTCACTTCAGTCCCAGCTTTCTGTTACGTTCCACATGAGTCGTGGGCGTGGAAGGTTTATTACTTTGCAGTGAATGGCCTTGTCATGGTGACAGTGAACAGAGAACTATATGTTGTCAACCACAATGGAAAACACACCACATACCTTTTCTTCCCGATGTTCCGTGCACATTAACACCTTGGTCTGCGGGTCTACGGTCGGCACCACGAACTTGTGGTCGGCAAACGCCGTCTTGCCAGTCCTGAACATGGACAAACATAGACAATACAAGTTACTTATCCGGCTAGTGACAAATGTTAGTTAGTCAGAGCATCGGTTGTGTTGCCATTGGTAACGTTGCTCCGATCCATGTGTATGTCCACGCCACGCGTGGAACCTAGAGGCAGAAAGGAAGAAGACATAGATGAGAAAACAATGTTTTCAGCTTACATCTTAATACGCTCTTCTAAGAATTATTACTTGCTTCTGTCTGCCGCCATGCGTCCTTCGCCAGTAACTCATAAACACTCGGTCAGCCTCGGGCTTATTCAACCAGTCGCATCAGACAATAGGACATTATCCTTGAATAGACAATGTCTGTTGGTCACATTTGCAAGCACGTGCATTTCTATTGACCTGGATTTAAATAAGCTACAACTTACATATCGAAGAGAAAGCAGAGGCTGCTGCCAGGGTACAGTTTCAATAGATGCTATAGTTTGCTGCTAAACCACCCATTCAGTCATAAAAGGTAGTTTTAACGCGAAGACGACTGAGATCTTTATCGAAATATCTTCCCTCGGGCGAATGCGGAGTCCTTCAAAGCAGCTTGTAATACCCGGATTGGAAGCAACTTCTCTGTGAAGTAAATAGAGATTGTCGGGGTCGCAGAAATTGACAAAAAAAAACGACTACAGTAGGAGTAGTAGTAGTAGTAGTAGGTATTGTGGTATTGTGCGACTATACTGGCGTTACTGTCCTCTGCCATGTCACTGGATTCTGGTTTTGAAAGCTCGATGCGTTTCATAGTAATTCCAAAGCCGTGTCATGAAGAGGTCAATGACCTGACTGTGTACTTCTGCATTACAAAATAACAAAGAACGGAAGGTAATGTATACAAATAGTGTTTCATTATCGAAAACAATTGCCTAGGTGAAGCCTTGTTGGGTGTAACAAATAAACTGTCGAATGAAGTAACCATAATCAATTTATGAGTATCGTGAGCTTCAGAATAGAGAATGATCAACGAGGCTCCATTAATTGTGAAGTAGGCATTATTTATCTTCAGCTGCAGACCTGACTGTCATTCAAGGTCTACAGAGCTTTCATGGCTGCAATAAAATATCGATTTTGGGATCGATTTTCCGGACCATCCCCTATTATATTAATGGACGTTCCCTGTACAGTGTTAATGTTTCAATTGGAATCTGTTCTGAAGAACGTCAAAAGCAACATTTCACATGGTCTCACATAAAAATACATTATAGATTCACCAATGACAACACCAGTCCCTTTTTAGGTGAAACAAAAACCATTTGTCCCATGGACTCGTACCTTTACGTGCTATACCTTCATGTCTTAATTCTGTGAAAACCCTTGGGCTTACTTTCTTTTTATGTCTGAATATTCTTCAATCATGTTTGAAATTGGTTTATGGTAACTTATAAGGCTAGCTAACCAGTAATTACAATAGCTGTGTGTACACTATTTACATACTAACCCCACAGATTTTTAGTTAACAATAGAGAGCTTTAAAGAGCTGTTTATCATGTGAATACGAACTTTCACATCATCCTTTCATGTTGGAAAGAAGATAGCTGTAAAAGACACAAAGTGGTTTTCGTTCGTTACTATTTTGTAATCCAAGAAGCTCAAGAATAGTCTACAGTGTACCTTAGGCTATAGCAAACAAAATACACACGAATGTCGCCCTTTGTGTTCTCCTTTAAACATAATTAAGAAAATTACCAGTGTGAATCATCCCTTAAGGGGACCACTGTTCAGGAGCATCACAAACAAGCTATTCACTATGACATCTGTTAGAATGATGTACTTTTCTAACTTCTTTGTTAGAGCTGCTAATACTTATAATTAGTAATCGCAATGTTTAAGACACAATCGTCCCTACCATACAAATTGAAGATGGTGACCTTGACAGGATGGAACAATGTTAGGATTATCTTAGACGACATGGAAGTAGGTCATCTGAGATAATTATGATTCTAAGAAGTAGTCTTCGAATTCCAAAAAAGGCTATAATTGTTTAGAAGATTGCCAAAACACACTGTAAAACTGATGACGTTCACCTTTTTTTGCTAAGCGATACGTGATAAGATACAGAACCATGGCCCAAAATGCCTAACAATGAAGAGCAAAGCACTTTTGAACGCGATGTCACTAAAGTTTTACCCTATTCCTGCTACAATACCATGAATGTTCAATAAGTACTGGAAGTGACGTGAAACGGCATCGTGACCTTAAAACACCTAAATTTGCATTTTGCACAATTTCAATTTTCAATCGGATTTCCGTGTAGTTTGCACCATTGACGTGATGACAAATCTGTTTTCGTATCCTACCTTTCTACACAGAATTCAACAAAACGACAGAATAAACACAAAAGTCCAACTCAATATATGCTGCCCCCAGACATGTTATTTGCACGTGACATTCCTTGTGACGTCAGTCAGATTCAAATATGACATTTTACACGCAGTAACCGCCCTTGGGTATCTGTATCATATTGAATAGTTTGACAGTGATTTAACTACACCAGCTCTAATAGCAGACGTTCAGCGAAGCATGTATAAGAAGGGCCCATATACCTTTTCAGGGTTCACTGGTTTCGTACAAAACTAGAATACTCCCCCAAACGCGAAGGCAAGACCATCCAAAACACTACTAAAATGTCGCCAAATAATATTGTTTTGATCTCCATAATGATCACAATTCATTTGCGTCATCCAAGGGCGTTGTAGCTACCAGACAACTTTCAGATTTCATTAAAAATTCATTCCCCATGAATCGGCTCTTCATTAAAAGATAGTTACGAAGGGGGAGGTGCGTTCCTACCTGACGGTCCCATTGCAATTGGTGGTACGGCGCTTTGGTGTGGATAGAACCAAGGTCGCTCGCGAAACGTACATTTTGGGGTCTATTTGGACGTCGATATTCGCTTGCCAGGGACGATCTGGTCAGGACGATTCCGCGGGTTTCATGTCGATCTCTCCCCGCGACATCTTCCCGTACAGGAGCCCTCGCTATTTGCCTTCAGCACCTGCCTGACAGGTTTTCGTGTCACTCCGGTCAGAGGGTCGGCAACGAAGCAACCATCCTCTCCGGAGGGGGGAGGGGCGAGCATGGATGTCAGTCCCATAACACAATAGGCCCGGAGCTACTGTACCAAGCGTGCGAGGGTCTAACCCCCTGTGTGGGGGATCTGTGATATGATTTCCTTGGGAGCATGTTGGCCCTGGAGCTGAGGCCCTGGAAACAGCCTGGCTCCCAGGCTAGTCATGAGGAGTTTGTTTTGACACTTTTCCTCCTATGGCCCTGTTGTTTCTTCTCGAATTTTCACATTCAATCAAGGCTGTTTGACATGAAACTACCGACTCGTGTGAGCGAGTTTTGATGTCAACAACTTTCCACATGCCCTTGTTGAACGTCACGAAAACTTGCAATGACATCTTGATAATGAGGCTACAGATCTCTCTTGTATTTTCAAAGCTGTTTGATTGAGCAGATTGTTGGTTGCTGAGTAGGTTCAAACCTGCCAACCGCTGTGCCCCCTCACACCCACAACCTAACCCTGCATTTGCACTATGCAGAGCATGTACCGGTAGTTCACGGCGTGACTCTGTCCAAGAATGAAGTCATGTTTGGCAACTCTTTTTTCACTGACTTAAGGTCTGTACAGCAGCTGGTGGCATGACGTAATACCGGATATAGTCGCCATGACATTGGACGGTATTTTCCTTTCTGTGAGTCACTTCTTCCGTTATAATTCCTTCGTGATCGAACTTTAAAAATCTAAGTATGTACAGTTAACTAGTTCCACATAATTAGCTCGTGGAAATATGGAACTTGCAGACACGGTTCCATAACACAGAGAAAGCTGTATGTTCCGTTTGGTTGCTACTTCTTATGCGGTCCGCATGAGAGCGCAGCTGAGCTTAAGACCCCCTGATGTTGACTGACAGGTTTAAGCTTCCATCTTTTGTCCCACGCATTTGGTACGACCTCCTAATCATAACAATCATAATTGGCTTATCTAGCTTACTTACTCTTTGCATGGAGCTGTACTTGTCTTGCCCTTTGCTCTTCGTAGATGAAATATTGAAAACACAAGTTACAAACGTATTTACCAAATATATATAGTTACAAGCTAAAGCAGGATCCAAAATATTTTGATTACATTAATACAATGTTAATGGAACGTAACGTAACACTGCTCTGACGTCCCACCTCTCAACAAAACAGTGTCATTGCTAAAGCAGGGATGGGAGAGAACAATGAGGAAGGCAAAGGCGAGGTGAAAGGTGAAAGGTGAAACAGTGATCTCCATACTAAAATGTAATGAATCAAAGCAAAGCTGGTTACGAAATAAAAAGAACCATTAAAAACGTTACATGCACATACCTCGTTGTAGGATGCGTCAACTTCAGGCACGTTTCGCAGTAGGACAGCTCGCATTTCACGCAGCTCTTGACGGCCGGTTTCGGGGGGTCGCTCCTGCACACGTCGCACGGGACCACCTTCTTCCCCCCGCCGGGAAAGTTCGACACCGACGTGGCCTGCTTGTACCTATCGATGATATTCTCCAGGATCAAGTTCCTCTTAAGCCCGTCCAAGCCTCTGCCGTCCAGGATGATCTCGTGTCTACAGGAAGGGCACTTGAGGCTGCTGCGGGGTTCGTCACGGTAGTCGCTGGCTGCGCCGATTTTGGACATGGGGTCGCCGTTGGGATGGACGAGGATGCCTTCGGCGCATTTGCTGCAGACGCTGTGGAGGCAGGGCAGGAGGAGAGGCGACTTGAAGTGGTCCAGGCACACCGGGCAGAGCAGCTCGCTCTCCAGAGCCTCCATGGCTGTAGTAGGGGGAGAGACAAGAACGGGAGGGATGAGAACAAAGCGTCGGACACACAGTTTGAATGGGTTGCGACTGTATCGCGCCATTGTCCCTCTGTCGACAGGCGCGAGACACCGCCATCTGCACGTAAGTCACGTTCTGGGGTCTTACTGTTAGAACCGTTGGGGATGCTGACAGGGCCTTTCTTGGCGATGCTGAAAAGGATTTTGGATCAAAAGGTGCATGGTGGGAGTTAGAGAACAATGAGAATTCTAAAAATGAAAATACAAACCCCACTATAACATATTAAAGTGGACCTCCCAACAAGTCACTCAATACAATTCTAGACAAGCATTCACTTTAACAGATGTGAAAGTGGCTTTTAAGTATTATAATAACCAGTAAAATGTCAGAGCGACACCGTGCCAGAAACGCTTTGGTACCACCCAACCATGGCACTGTTTCAAACCTGAAAGCTACGTATACACCAGAGCATTTACATACCGTACAATGAGTCCAATATCATCCTTGTAAAATCGTCAAAATTTCGCAATGTACGTACGAAGCTCCAAACTACTATGGGTATGGCGTTCACCAAACAACAGTGTGAAAGCATAAAGTGCTTACGACAGAATTCCCTTCGGGCGGATGTCCTCTCCCTTCCTGTCACCAACACAAACGTGACACTCATCTTCTGACATCCTTCCAAGCAATCACTCCTACCATACACGCATACTAACTAACGCACTGTCTTACTACGAACTGAAACAACACCACATATCTGAGTTGTCTGTCTGGTGGAGTATGGCCCAACAAAACAAGTCTTAACGACCGTTTGGGGCGGTTGAAAATTCACAACGACTTAACACCTCGGTAATTTAGGGGTTGTGTGGGGGAGAGTTCCAACCGCCTCCTGACCATGTAATTAAGGTCGTTACAGTCTTTGAAGTTAATTACATGTGCAGATGCACGTACGAGCAACCTACGGTTGAAACTAAAGTGTTCTGCTTTTTTGTCGAATGGTCTTTTACTTCCATGTTATAATGAGTTTTGTATAGAGAGCCTGGGGATCCTGGCCCCATTTCAGCGTGTACAGTGCATGCTGCCAAGTTCTTGTCTAGTTATTCATTTGAGGTAAGGGCTTTGGGTCCGGAAATCACTTACTAGAGGTGAAGTCGAACACCAAACAGTGCGCCACTGTTCAGAGGTTACAGTGCCCGACATAAGGTCGGACTTACTGAATGTTTCACACTCTCTGACGACATTTACTGCCAACACGCGATATGTGACACTTGTGGCACTAATGCCTATAACCTGGAATCCGGACCATTGCCAGGGCTTACACAAGTCAGCTCTTCGGCACCAGGGCCAACATGCCCCCAAGGAAATTTTCGCTTCATCCCCCTGAGTAAGCACCTTTAACAGCAACATTCTAGCCACGTCTGAAGAGTCTGGTGAGACTCTGGTCTACACCCCATTGTCAAATCTATAAGCCATCTATTCAAATATGTACCCGTAAGGAGCATTTCACTCAATTGTAAACAGGTGTACAAGTCGGTGCCCAGGTGTACTATAAAGGTACGGATCGATGCAAATATTTGACATTGAAGAACTGTGACCTTGAGCTCTGTCAACCTCGTTTTGCCGTACGGATGAGGCCTTCGGGGTCATGTGAGAACAAACATGCAACTGGGAAAGTATTCCGAGCGCGCCAACTTCCGCCGGGGAACCATTGCTTATTCAATGGGTCTTACAACATGCAGTTTAAGAGAAAGCTGTTAGGGTGAAAAAAACTCTGTTTTTATGCTTTCTCTATCCATCCTGTTCACAGAATAGAAAATACCGCTGATAGAATATCCATTAGAGATCCAAATTGAAATATATATAGAACATGGGGATGCACATTGCTCTATGTATCGACTCTGGATTGTCGAAGATGCAGATATTGTCCTTGCAAAGGTAATAATGGCGATAGAATAGGTGACAGTAAAGTGATGGATGATCAAAATAGTCAGACTTGACAAGGTGACATCACCGCCTCAGGACGTATCACTCATCAGGACTGACCTCTGACCCGGATGTCAAACCTTTCCGTCAATGAATGGATGAAGACCTTTATTGTACATGCATACTCACTGGATTAAGTACAGGTTACAACAACGAAACAGCTTGTATACATACACATGATCAAGTTAGCACTAGCACTATACTCTATTGAGTAAATTCATCAATACATATTCTGTCATCTGAAGTTCACATGAATTATGTATCATATACGTTAACAAGGCAACAAGAAAGAGAATTTTGGGATTATATGACATTCGTTCCACTGAATTATACATGTGGCATCTATGCAATCAAACGCTAACGTCATATAGCACAGATGGCTTATGCAGTCTGACAGTTACATAAGATTGACAGGTCACTCAAAGCAGGTGGGAAAAAAGTTCTCACTGGCGTTCTGATTTTTTGGCCGACTACGCCGCGAATTAACCTTGCAAAGCTATCCCTCCTGATAATTTAGAGTTTGAAAGAACATTGGAATTTTCATATTACTATGATCCTATCTACATTGCAACTGGGATGAAGACACCATAAGATCACCATAATGTAGAGGAAATTCCAAGTATTCATCACAAGGTAGCTTAGCGAGATTTCGCCATATGTCAATTTACGTGGCTTCTGTTCTGTCTCGACGGCGTCTACGACCTTTGAATATGTGTTTGGAGAGAAAACAACAGTCTCAGATCTGGGAAAGGGTAATCTCCAAGCAGATATTTTGGTGGGGGTAAGACAGTATCAAATTGGCCAATCTGTAACCCTTTCCCCACTGGTTACAGACTGGCCAATTTGATACTGTCTTACCCCCACCAAAAGATCTGCTTGGAGATTAGGAAAGGGGGCTGCGACGATTATATCCAACGATTCTAAACAGTTTATCTTCCAGCAATACTTAATTTGACGGACCGACAAAAGGATCAAACTGGCTATAACGGGCAAAACAGACTTTGCGACTGCTTTGAAACCCAACACCACTAATTATAAGAACACGTCCTGTTGTCTTACATGACAAGATCGTTTCAACCGTTACATCACACGTGTTAGACAGAGGCGTGGCTACACATTACGTGACTGGAACACAAACAAGGTGATCATAACGGTATTGAGGACATAAACAGACAGCCTGGTATCCGTTAAAGGCATCCAATGCAATTTCAGAGCGACAAAACAAGAAACATGATGCTATCTGTCTGCATCTGATATCGACATTTACTGCAATTTCTTAGCACATTTTCGTCAGCATTTTATACTTGAAGTGTTTGAAACTGACTAACAACAAGCTACGCAAGCTATTTCTGGTACCACCAATAAATAGCTGGAATCAGCCTACGATACAAAACAAGCAACCGTATTCTATCAGTGACATCGCATTTACCTCACAGATATCAGTATGCTATCGGTGAACTTGAAGTAATATACGTGAACGTATTACAATAGTGTCAACAATAGAGCCATTATGTTGAGGAGGAGAATCAGAACGTTGTCATTACGATAATTACGGATGTCTACAAGACACGACCACAGGATCCACCGCCTCCACATCATTATAGTCTACCCCCACAGAGCCAAATATTGTCCAAGGCCACAACGTGAATACAGACCACTCATTATGTCGCCAAGCCTTAAGCTTCAGAATATGTTGGACTGGACCCAAGTTACATATAACGAGCGATGCATATCTGTGTCTTTCAAACAGCCTGGAGGAATGGAAATGCAAATGTAAACACCACCTAAAGATTATTCTTAGGGATTCCCTTTTACCCCCCCCCAATGATCAAACAGGTGTCCATTTCAAGCGTTTCGTACTTGCCGCCTCTAACGTGTTAAGCATAAACTTCACCTCGGTTGCATCGGAGTAACATATAACTGTGCAAGAATACTTTAAAACCGTCAGACTGTGACGAGGAATTTGGACACAGTAGGAATTATGCCGAAGCCTTCGGGCAGAAAACAGCCTAGGATACGATCTAAAATATGCGACAAACTTCTGAAATACACGTACTCTTTAGACTAGCCACTCACCTAAGTCTAGATATTCCACAGGACGATAAAACCTGCGTACTCTAGGAATCTGCCGAACGCACGTGGGTCTCGGGAATGCGTCACCCTTGTTGTGTCCATATCCGGGACCGTTTCGAAGTTTCCTGACAGCCCTGGCGGCCAGAAAGGTAAACCTGAGAACCCTCCGTTGATGTTGGAAGAGTTTGTCACCTTCTGTACTTAATAAAGCCATTTCAGTCAGGCTTATGACAGAATCGGACGACGAGGGAAAGTTGTCCGTCCCCATGGCAACTGTTCCTCTGGACGTACGTGGGAGTAAAAAATACACAAGGGCGTGACCCCAAGAATTGACGTTGACACCTGAGAATGCAGGTGTGTTGAACCACCGATGCTGTGGATCCTTGGTCACCTCAGACGAACTACACGCCAGGCACCGCACGGACTGAAAAACGTCCCTGGAATATCAACCTGGACGTGAACTGGGTAAATACTGCATCAGCATACGTGTCTCTTTCAGCTGGACGATCGTGGCGGGAGTTCTTGATCACCGACATAAACCGACCGTGCATTGTCGTACCGTAAAGCCGGCCTTTTCTCCAAACGTAATCCGATGCCGTTACAGTAGAGTAAACGTGTGACGTTGTCTGTTCACACGGGTTAAAAGAACACGCCTCATTCTTACGTGACTCCGTCATGAGAACTTCACGAACAATCTACTACCCGGATCTACCCAATGAAGGCCCCCAGAGGGTCATCTGTCAGCTATGCGCGTGTCCCGGGGTCAAATCTAGTTACACCAAAGCTACTACGTACGGATTCACAACGCTGCCAAAACAATGGCTGCTGTACGAGAGGTGGTAAATGGTAAGGATACAGGTAAACAGTAGCGTGTGACAATATTTGTTGTCTGTATATGGATACAAGCAACCTCCTTGATACAAGGCACCCTCGCGTCTT